GAACTGTAGACATGGCTGCTTCATCGGCAATGTACGAGCACTGATTTCTGCTATAATGAATGGCTCATTGGCTGGTTTATCGCCCAAATTATTATACATTACATTAATTAGCAGAAAATCATATTAAATTGCTACAAGTCAAACGAATGCAGATAACCTACCGTGTTCAGAATCTTGGATGAGACGGTAAATATCACCAGGGAGTCCCATGACGTTAAAGCAAACGTATATATCAGATTGGGGCACATGTACCATAAAATGGGGATCACCGTCGACTATAAAACAATCATTTTTTAAGTTATAACAAATTTATGATATCACATTTTCTCTGAGTAAGTTTTTATAATATTTTCATTGGATATCTTTATCTTAAATAATGTTAGTATCCATGAAATGTCGCGTATTAATGTTGTTACAAAGGCAATTGTATTATCTAGGCCGTATAAAAGATTTTCAGTGAGATGATGGGAAGGGAGGGAGGAGCGGGAGTGTGCAGGCGTACAAAGGTGAAAGATGCACCAACTGGGGTCAGGGAAGGAGCCGATTAAAACACAAATTTGATTTTCATTACTAATGTGACTTTAATGCCTAAATAACGATAGGTTCTTGTTTAAAATGTACAGATTACGGTAATAATTCCGTTTATTTATCAGAGATAATAAATTTTATATTCAGTACATTCTCGACTTTCATAAGAAATAATAAATAATATTCATTAAATTTTAATACAAGTAAATTATGTAAAAAGGTATTTACTTACCAAAAGAAAGCCATGGAACTGCGATTATTGAGGAAAGATGATAATATAATTAGGCTTAAAATATAGTATTTTATTTTAGTTACAATATTTGTAGGCCTATGTTATTTTAGTTACAATATATTTGTATGATATATATTCATTATGACAATGATGATACTGGAAATAAAAACAAACAAGTCTGATTTTTTTTTTATTAAGAAGTGGTTAAGTTAGAAATATAACTTACAGCTACCTACAAAGTAAGCAGATTATCAGACTAAAGGTCATAAAAGAATTGTAAATAATAAAAAAACAAAATTAAAATCTCTACACATCAACAATCAATGGACGAATTAAAAATAATAAAATAAATATTAAGCTTATTTAAAATCTCATTTTTTTAAGATAAAAAGTGGATTGTAATACGGTAACTTAAGAGAATGAGTCCATGGAAAACGATCTATTGACGTAATAAGCATAAATATGATAATGATGATGATTATAATGATGATAATGATATGTATTTGCTAATTTATTTTTCTTTATTTAGCAAATCATGCCAATAAGGCGTCTTATATCATTGTGAAAATAAACAATAATTAGGCCTACATGAATCAATTATTAAAAATATTAGATTTTTAGTTCAAAAGGTCAGTCAGTGGAAAGAATTGGCAACAATAAAATAATTATTTACAAACTCAAGATTGTAAATAAAATAATTATTTACAATGAGTTTTAAAATGCTTTTTTTAAAGAAATTGATTGAATATGATAAATTACTATAATAATAACTCCATTGAATAAAATAATGTCAATATCATATTAAATTAAATAGAAATAAATATGTAATATGTAGAATTAAAAAGAAAGAAATTTAAAATCTCTACATTACAAAAATCAATGGACGAATTAGAAATAATAAAATAATTATTATTAAAATTTAAATTTTTTAAAACAAAAACTGGATTGTAATACGGTAACTTACGAGGATGAGTCCATGTAAAATGATCTGTTGAGGTAATAAGCATCAATTGGAAAAAAATAATGTCAATGTTATACTAAATTGAATACAATTAAATATGTAGTTTAAATATAATACTCTTATTTTAATCAAGAAGTGGATTGTAATGATAACTTACGAGGAGAGCCCCATGATGAATCTGCTGTGAAAATAAGCAATAATATAAATATTATTTTTAATTTAATAAAGTGAAATATAGTTTAATGATATACTGCTACCCACATAATAAACAGATATGCAAGTTCACAATCGAAGTATTTGAAATAATGACAA